AGAAAGCTAATTTCTGTACAGGAAAAGAGAATATTTTAATGAAATAGTAATAATTTCATTAGAATTCAGTAATAAAATCTCCACAAAACATCCTCATATGTAATATTCCATAACAGAAAAGTATATATGGAAGCTTTCTGGCAGTTTCTAGATTATTACAATATTTTGTACTTGTGGTACTCCTGTTGCCCTAACATATCATTTACAAGCAAAACTCATAGAACTAACTCCAGTTTTAAAATATATAAATCATTAAAGGCATCCAAGGCTATTGTTATCACTTATGGCTCCAGGCCTTCCACAGAGTAAATTAAGTTACTTCAAACAATGAAGAGTAGTTCAGTCACTAAGATCTGTAGTGAAATTAAACAGATACAGTGAACTACCACAGCAGTAAAATCTGTAAGAAGTTATATACACACTAGAGTTCTAAGAACTCTGATGTTTCCAATTAACAATGTTTTCTGTGGCTTCAAAGCTACTTGTTCCAATCTTACTTTGTTTCATCAGTAAATTGATAGCTTCTGATTTTCTCATTAGCTAAGCTATAAGGCACCTAATTGTTCTTTTCTCCGTGATCTCTGCAATTAGAGGCAATGATTATAGTATAGTCTATTCTACACACAAATCTCTTCTTAATACTGTATCTCTTCTTAATATGCACAACTGAATGGAGAATTAAAACATGAAAATTAAATGAAAATATTTTATGAATGCAGGGAAGTTCAGAGAATAGAGAAACAGTCCTTATACGTAGTATTTAAAGGCTGATACTATGGGTGTGTGTTTCTTAACACTACAGGCCTAAAATGGTATTTACTACAGGATCAGCTATTATTGTATAAGGAGGCTTGGTCCTGACATGCTCTGTGTTGAGATATTCATATGCAGGTGTGCATGGGAATTGCTGCCACGAGGAAAACTTCACCAAAACAATCCACAGAGAAACACTGAGGCTAGGAAATTCAAAGTAATTCATACTTACTCATACAGTTTATTTTCTATCCAGAATCTCCTTCTCAGGTATTATTAAACTTGGTAGGTTATACAAATATTTCATAGGTACTAGCAAGTGAAAAATAAGGATACTTTGAGCTGTCTATTGTTACAAGAATAATTCTAGCAAACCAAGCAAAGCTGATCAGAATTTTGACACTGATCACCCAAAGACCAGGTTTTCATGCACTACTGCAGCTAATGGGTAGAACTGATCAATCCTAACAATCTAACCCTAGAATTTGTCAACTTCAGTTTTTATTAGTCAGCAGAAAGAGTCCTGGAAGTCAGTTCTCCTCATCTAGCCAGGTTAGAACTAGATTAAACAATGCATGCATTTCCTCTTTCCCTATATTGACCGAAAAGTCTGCATTATTAACTTAAGCTTATCTACCTAAAGTTAGTAGAGGTAGATGTCAACCTCAAAATATTTACATTTTTTAATTTGGTAACTTCCAATATTCAGAGAAACACTGTTTAATTAGGAATAATGCCTCTCCTATCTACTGTAAAAGAGATCCCACTATAAGCAGACTACATCTTGTATGCTACAGGAATTTTGCATGTTACCTGTTAAACAGGAGTCAAAGTAGTTGGAACATTTAGACAAATATCTGTGTTTTTCAAGGCAACAAGGTTTTTAGAACCAAATAGCTGCTTTTCCATTAGAAAAATGAAAAACCAGAGCTGTGAAGGTACTGCTACACACTGAGGAAACAAAATTATAAAACATGCAAAACACTGGATGTGTGCAGTATAGGACCTGAAACTGTGATTTCCTTGACACTTTGCTTAAGGGTTCATTAACAGAATATAATTTAACTTACTTTATGTTAAAAAAAAAATATTTATATGGAGTCAATGTTGAAAATATTATTTTTTACATTATTACTCATTATATTTGCTTAATGCCTTTTCCTCAGTGTTAAGATGAGCTACATACAATGTTAAGACAACCTCTCATAGTCAAAGGCAATGTTAGAAATCTCACTCCAGAACTCTTATCTAAGTTTGGAACTGTTGAGCAACAAACTTAGTTTTTCAATACAAGTCCTGTCATCTACAACATATTAAACATAATTCATAATAGAAATCTTGCTACAGTATTTTCACAGTTAAAAAAACCCTAAACCAATACTAGTATTTCTGAATGATGAATAAAGTATCATTCAGAATGCATTTTCATTCAAATTATTTGAAAAGATTTATTTATTTAGCAGTCTGTCACTCGGAAGAAATATTCTCTGGAACTGTGATGGGAAAATGAAACAAAATGTGAAACCTAGTCCTTGAATAGTTGAATTAGTTGTTTTAAAAGTTTCTGTATTGCTGCAGTTTCTCTACTTTGAATTTACATTCTAACATCTCCCCACAAAAGGTCAAAAGCAGTTTTGACAATGACGACTGCCATTAACCTTTTTTAGTTGTTCCAATTTAAGCACACTGAAAACATGAGTTGTAGCAAATCATCTTCCTCCCCTTCATCCCCAAACTGATATAGTTCAATTGGCTTTGGTGTGACTTCCATCAGCTCAATACACATCCTTATTATTTTTATGACATGTTCAATAAAAGCATTCCAAAAGCTGAAGAGCTGACTTACCATTTTCTTCCAAGTACATCAGAAGGATGCTGCTAGATTCAGTCCCTTCTACAGCATAATCAAGTGCAATATTTCCATTAACATCTTGCAGAAGCACATTTGCTCCAGCCTACAGACAAGAATTAAAAGCATTTTAGGTTTTTGTACTGAAATCTCAAAACACGACTGGGGTTCTTACACGATCCTATTCAAAAACATTTCAAAGCTTGAGTTCTTAGACAGCAGGCTGATTATAACCTGAAACAAATCCAAACATACAAAAAGGCAAAGGCAAAATGAAGGACTCATGAATGGCAAAAGGGCTGTCTTTGTTTGAGACAGCTGGCATTGTTGCCACACTAGCTGTCCAGTCTGGCTTTGCAACACAGATGTCTGGGTTGCTCATTGGTGAGTTTTGGAACCACCACCATTTGCAGCACAGCACTTTAAAGTCAGCTGCCACTGACTACAGTCTGCCTTAAAATACTCCAGCAGTAACCAGCTGTGGTCAAAATGGCCAGCAGCATGGACACGGCTGCAGAAGGGATGGGCAGACAGCTGGTCTGGGGAACCCTGTCAGCTGGCCTGACCTCCTGAGGCCTCATCCATCAATCCAACCTCAAAGTGAACCATCCATTGCTAAATAAAATTGCCATTTGTCACCAACTGGAGACAATGAAAATGAGTTGATTATTTCAACTGTAATCTTTAAAGAAGCCAGGCTGAAATTTCTCTAAGTTTCATTCAAAATTCAATATAAATGACTGACAAGTAAGAACAGCTCTTGGGGTTGAGGACTAGTGAAATGAGCAGATTCATGAGAAGCTTGAAAAGAAACGACCAGCATGATGGTATTTTCTATATTAAAGATTATTAATGTAAGAATTTATAGGAAAATATTTTTTTTTTAGTAAGAAAGCTCTTATCTTTGAAAATATCATAAATGTCTGGTGGACATAGACGCTTACATTACTAGTGTTACATTAGTAGAAGTTACATTACTAGTGAATTGTCATGTAACATTAATTTAAAATTTCTCTCTATGACTTTAATGGCAAGGAATTATGAAATAAGTGTGACTTCAGGTAAATTTAATTACTTTTCTTAATAGCTTGTATGATAAAGAGTTTAGCTAATAAAAATGAGAAGTGCCAAGGACTGCTTTTCTTAAAACCACAGCAGCAGAGGTCAAATGCGATATGAAATTATTTATAGAAGACATGACTGCTTTTTTCAGGAATTTTCACTGTAAGTATTGTATCAAATAAAAGCTTGTAATAGGCTCAGGTCTGGCTCAGCTTGTAATATGACACAAAAAATAAGCAAGTTCATATAAGCTTTATGTTATCAAACTTGAACTGTTTGTCTGAGGTGATCTGAGTTTCCAGGGGACAGACAGGCATCAAAAAAATATCTCACCTGTCTCAAACATCTCTTACATCCTATTAGACCATATCCTATTCAGCAAAATAATCTGTCCTCCTACAAAACACACTACTTTCTTCTATTCTTATCTTGTTGCACTGATTGTAAGGGGAACCCAGAGAGCAAATTTAGATTAGATGTATTTCTTATGAATTTTTAAATGAAATTAGATGAGAGTATTTGACTCTCATGCTTAGTGAAAAGGAATGGAAGGAGTCTTACAAGTGTAAAATCTTACATTCACTATAGTTCTATGAAAATAAATTTCTACTATCTGTTCTGCTAGATAAAATAAAAAAGATGGTAGGAAATCAAATAAAGGGTGAATTTGAGGATCATGGTATCTTTAGGGAATGGTTTAACAACTTTTATTGCACTTGTTCCACTATTAGAAAGTATGATTTTTGCTTTGCTTTCTACTCACTGACCTATGAGAGTTTGCTGGTGAAGGCAGAATTACAAAAGCAAAACAATTTCCTATCTCATTACTTTGCATATAAAAGAACCCTGCAAAGTCTTGCAGGTATCTATTCTTCATTGCATGTAGATAATCTCCATGTAATGCCAAAAGATCATTTTCTTCTTTGTTAAGTTAAGAAACCAAAATACCTTTGTTATATCAAATTCAGGAAAAGTAGGATAATGACTTTGGTCAGAAGCCCACTTTTAATTTATTTCTAAGATGTAATATCACAGAAGGAAAGATACAATACGGAATTACTCATCTCCAAGTAATTTTTATTGGGTATTTCTATATTAATTTCTTGAGAAATGTTTGAAATGTTCCCAATTTATCTTATGGGTTTAATAATAGGCATTTTTAATATGGTGTATCATCCCTGCCTCCCAGCTCTGCACCATCTGTGAACTTACTGAGGGTGTGCTCTCACTGCCCACATCAGGAATAAAGACCTTGAACAGGACTAGACCACCACTAATCAGGTCTACACCACTAGCATATTTTTTAGTGTATAAATGGGAGCTAATTTAGAATAGTGCAGAGAATACTGCTTTTGCTTTACAGGATGCCATAGGAGCTGAACTGTTCCTCCTCAAATAATCTTGGGAAGAAAATGGGGAAAGAACCAAAAAGTCTAAGCACTACTGGAAGTTTTGATTTGCAAGAATTTACAATAACTAGCAACTGCATGATATCATTACATGTGAACAGACCTCTTCAGTGCTCTGCCCCTAAAGAAGCTGCCCCTTACCCCTTGGGACAGGCACCCAAGTAAAAATGCAGTCACAAACTCCTAAGGCTATGTTGCTGCAGCTGTATCCACTGGATCAATGTCCAAATTCCACTGGGAAGCTAAAAGTTGAGTTTAGTCCACATTCTACAGTTAGGAAGCCTAATTAGTGATACTGTTGAGTCAGAAGCAATCAATAAACAATCAATCTCTCAACCTTTTATTTTTTTAAATAAATAACTGATTCTAAAACTCAATTTATCATGCACAGGGGCAAATTTTTCATTAAGTATTTATTTTTTTAGAAAGTCTTAAAACTTTCTTCTCTACTATTTATTATCTGCCCAATATTCCTTCTACTCTTTCTTATTTCTAGTGTTGTGATACAACTTATGATTCCCAAATGAAAAATATATCTACCTACCATCACTGAAAAAAAAACAAAAAAAACCACAAAAAAAAACAAACAAACAAACAAACAAAAAACCAAGGGCCCAGGTATCTCCCTTCTGAGGAATGTATCCTTATTCAAAGATTTTAAATTATTTATTTATTTCTGTATCTTTGAAATCCACAATATTTTTTTTATTGACAGTCTAACTTTATCAGGATAGGTGAAAACCATATGAAAAGCTGTGGGCTTAGACCTTCTCCAGCAATCTCCAGTATTCAGGGACAGAGTTCTAACCACTGGGTTGCATGTCCAGAAATTGAATGCCATCACAACAATGTGGACAGGAGCCTAATCTGATTTAGGCATTGTTTGAGGACTCCTAATTTACCAAGGTTCTCCAAGGACTTGGGAGAGGTTTGGCCATCTCTCTGCCTAGATACTACCTCTTGCTTACCTTCCCAGCTAGGATGTCTCAGGTTTTGCACCCAGACAATGTTATGCTCAGAAGGGTTTCCTGCTGGAACTGCTTTCTGAATGGGATCCAGCATCAGTCCTCTTTAGGTGGATATCAGGCAGACTCCTGAAAGTCTGACTATGATTCACTGAAATTCTTGAAATCCTTTCTTTTGTTGCATACCCTTAAATTATTCTCTCAAACCTGTGGGCCATGCAGGTTATTTAAATATTTGAAATAACTAAGTAATTTAGCTTTATTAATATAGTAGAAAGTCCCAGGTGCATTATAAAATATTTTTAATACAGAAATGATGACCCAGTAATTGCCTCTGTCACCTAGGATTGCCACCATTGCCTTCTTGAGGTTTTATGAAGGCAGTCAGAAATACAGTAGACCCTGAGGAATATGTGAATATGTGTGGATATTAAAAAAATAAAAAGAGGAAAAAAATAAAAAAAAGACAGAGGCAGAAAAAAAATTATACACTTGTTGCTATGGAAAAGAAAAACCCAAATTTTTTTCCTACTAGGAGGCTCCTGCACAGTTCTTACAATGGTTCAATTGTTCAATTGGTACAACATGCTAGCTGTGTGCAAACTGTGCAGTCACCTGTCAACCCCATAACAAAACCTGACTTTTTTATGCCTACTTATATTATTATATTAGTAATCTATTTTTATTCAATTCCACATATTCCATATGTATACACTTATACACATGCAAATGTATAAACATTTGCATACTATTCTCTCATCTATAAAAAATGTTCTATATAAAGTTCTATTTGTTTAAGAATAAGGAAACATACAGGAAGTCCTACATGCTCATGGCTCCATGATGCTAGGCAATCTTGCTCTCTAACCTCGATGGCTTGCATAAATTTTCATTTAAGATACCAAATCCCACAAATCTAGCTGGTTCCTCTTTGTGGTTCCTATTAGACTTGTTTGAATATAATTCATTAACAAAGCAAAATAAATGAAGTTGCTCTACACAGTGCTGTGGTTTAGGTCATTAGCACTGGATACCACTTTACACAAACTCACAGTGCTGAACAGATGAGGAGCAATTCTCAAGGCAAAGCTAAAAAAAAAAAAAAAAAA